ATCAGTTGACAACTTTTTTATATCTTTCATAAAAATCGAGATAAATTGGCTCAAAGTAAAAAATTAGAGTGGCGGGGGGGGGGGGTCCTGTTATTAGCGTTGTTATGATATCTTTCGTCATAGTTTGAAGATAACAGAACAAGAGTTCTGCCAACATTAACTAGATTTTTTCGAAATTTTTCATCGAAATTTATTGTCTAGACACTGTATACAGTATAGTAGACCTTGTGATGTTCCTATCTTCGCCCATATCAATTTCTCTGCGTCTCTCATCTCTTATCTCTTCCGTCACATCATCACCAATCGTCGTGTGATTCGCGTGAATNGACACGCGGCATAAAAATTACCATACTTGAAACATCAGAGCCCCGGGGTTTTCACATGTGAAAAAAACTGAATTTTCAGAAAATTTGCATATGTTTTTGGTAAAATATCATCTTTACTCCGTTGTTTGCAAACTTTCTGTTTGGCAGAAGTTTTCATATTTTTAACTGACCCCAAAATTTTTATAAACAGGAAAAAATTACTGGAAACCCGGTCCGATATGGACCGGCCCAGGGCGAGAAGTTTTTGAGAAACCCGCCCCTTTGCGAGTATGATAATTATCAAACTTTATCTTCTAGAACTGGGAGTGTGGGAACGAATCAATTCACATCGTGCCAAGAAAGTGAATCGATTATTCGTTTTCGATAGTTGCTCAACGTCGGAAATTGAATTTGAAAGAGGCCAGAATGAAGAGGTCGCATATATTATTGAAAACGATTTGATCGTCGGATCCCTCTATGAAAAACTAGCGGATTATAAGAATGTCGATGTGAAAACTGGAGCAAAAGTTGAAGTTTGTTTCATTCCGAACGGATTGGAGAATATGGCAACAATTAAATTGGAGAATGGAGATGTTATCGAGACAAGTCTTTTAGTAAGTATTATTCTGGTACAAAAGTGTGGAACCGAAACGCATGTGGCCGTAGGTCTCACAACTACCGTAACTCAGGCCCTGAAACAAGCGGTAAAGATCTACTGACATACGCAGTGTAGAAAAAAATTGCTTTTCGTTTATTTCTGGAAACTTCTCGAATCTTCTCGAAAAATTAGCGATTTTTTCTTTGATTTTTTGCAATGTTTTTAGACCTTTTTGAGTTTTCTAGCCATTTTCAAATATTCCTTTTCGATTTTTCCGGTATTTTTAAACTGAAATTTGATAGAACGGTTTTCGTGAAGAATACTGTAGGTTACTGTAGAAAACCAATTTCCTTTTGTAATTTTTTTCAACTGTGTAACGTGAAAAAAAAGCTATAGAATATAGTAATCTACAGTAATCTTCCGGAACACCGTTCCATCAAATTTCAGACAAAAAACCGGGAAAATCGGAAAATAATCATTGAAAATAGTTGAAAAACCTAAAAAGGTCTAAAAATTTAGCAAAAAATCAAAGAAAAAAAAATCAATTTTTCTCTCGAAAAATTTTTCGGAGTTTCAGTTTTGGAGGGAATTCAGAAAAAAGGATTCGAGAACATTTCAGAAGTGTCCAGGAAAGGACCAGAAGTGATTTTTCGAGATTTTGCCAATTTTTGTTTGTAAAAGGAAATTGAGTGCATTGAATCTAGTGCATTGAATCAACATATTTTTCTGCACTGTGTTTATCAGTAGGTCTTTACCGCTAGTTTCAGAGCCCGGGTTACTGTAGTTGTCGTTGTGAGACCTTCGGCCACGGCCACAGTTCCGATTTTTGTAACATCACTATAGCAACTAATTTTCATTGATTCCGAGTAATTTCAGATTGGTGCCGATGGTGTCAACTCGAAAGTTCGTCATGCATCGAATGTCGACTACACTACGTTCAATTATAATCAGCATGGACTAGTTGGAATAGTCAATATTGAGGTCAGCATTAGATGATGTTACTATACTATTTCATTCTATACTTCAGACCGCCAATGGAAAGAACGAAACCGCTTGGCAACGTTTCACCACACTCGGTCCTGTTGCCCTTCTCCCTCTCTCCGATACGATTTCTGGTCTGACGTGGTCCACAAGTCCCGAAGAAGCACAACGATTAAAGCAACTTCCAGCTGATCAGTTTGTAGATGAACTTAATTCTGCATTGGTTAGTTTTGAATTTCCTAAATCTGACCGAAAAAGAAACTATTTCAGTTCTCACAAGACGACCAGCTGCCATACGTGAATCAGGCAATCTTCGCTTTGAACAAAATGAATCCATTCCGAACAGAAACATTTGGACGCAAAGCAGAAGGAACTACACCTCCACACATCATTTCAGTTCAAGACAAAAGTCGAGCATCGTTTCCTCTTGGCTTTGGAAATGCACATAGGTATTTAAGAGAGAAATTCAATTACAGTAATTCATTCAATTCAGCTATATCACCACACGATGCGCGTTGATTGGGGATGCTGCTCATAGAATGCATCCACTTGCAGGTTAGCACAATCTCTGGTTCTCATTACGGTGATATTTTGTAGGACAAGGTGTGAATCTTGGTTGGAGCGATGTACAAATTCTGGACAAAATACTTGGAGATGCAGTACGAGAAGGAGCAGATATCGGAAGCATCACATATCTTCGAGAATACGATTCAGCTGCACAGAAGCATAATCTGCCCGTTATGGTTTCTGTCGATCTGCTAAATCGAATCTACCGTACCGATGCGCCCGCGATTGTTGCTGCTCGAGCGTTTGGCCTGAACGCATTTAATTCTCTGGGACCTGTCAAAAACTTTCTCATGAATTATTTATCAGCACATCGGTGAACAATTTCCGGTTTATTGTTGGTCAGTATAAATTAGTTTTCTGTTTATGTTGATAGTTTTTGAATAAATGTAGTGTTTCTGTTAAAATCGACTTCAAAGTTTTCAATACGTGCACTTCATCGGACATGGTTCTGGAGTGTCATGATGGTTAGAATGTGAATTAGGAATTCTCTTTATCTAGAGCCTGTCATTAAGGTTAGAACTTGCGTGTCATTAAGGTTAGAACTTGAAAAAAATGCACTCTGTTTCAGAATTTCATGTGGGACTTCATACTGATTCTACGAATTATTGAACTCAATATGGTCCTAATTTTCCCTTCTTTTGTGAAGAAAAATAAATGGCTTCTGAATTAGGCAGAATCCAGGGCCTTATTATTAAGTTGGCCCTGAATAACTTTCTTGACTTGTCTAGCTTGAAGTTTTAGGGGTTGATAGGACTTCTGAAAAAAATGCAGTGTATATTTGGCATTAGTAAGCCACTCTTTATTTATGTTCGTACGTTTTCCACTGATTTTTTTTTCTAATTTTTGGAATCTTCAAGAATAAGAACTAACTCGATGACTTAGAACACAGTTTAGAATTGCCAAAAACAGTAATGCTAATGAATATCCTCAATTTCTAATTTTTCTGGCTTTTTTCAATAAATTACCGCTGGCTGTATTTGAAATCTGAAAAGAATGAACACCTCTGAAAAATTGCGAAAATCCGCTTAAAATCGTAAAGTTTCTGAACAGTAGCCTTCGATGTACATTCTTTTGATGTAACCCCCAGTGTATGGGAGCAAAAACGAGCCAAAATCCCAGCAAGTGAGACAGTCTCTAGCAAATGAGACAATCTTAGCAAACGATTTTCTAGCTTTGGTCTTTTAGATTTGCCACTTCATCGGCATGACCAAGAAATAATGTAGATGGGCAGTAAGCGAGAAGAAGACTTCGCCATACATTCAAAAAAAGCGCAACTACTGTAGGCTCGCGTTTTCGCTGAATAAAGAGGAATTTTTTTCAAAAACCATAGCATACGACCTTTTTTCTCGAAGATGTTTTAAATTCTGAAAGGTTCATTTCTAACAACAAAACGCTTTTGACTAACTTATTTATTATTCATTGCACAAATTTATTAAGTACGATTTATAAACATAAGGAAAATTAAAGTCGTTGTTTTTTTTTATTCTGATTTATCTTATCATTTCAATCAAAGCTTCGTGGTTCCGTGCTTTGCGGGATCGACCTCATCCGTCATCCTTTTTTCCGACAATTCCGAACATTGTTGCTTTTGTCGTCCTCGACTATGAGCCAGTTGTTGTCGTCCAATCACCATCTTTGTCGTTGTCCCAATCCGAGCCAACTGAATCCGAATAGTCGTCATCACCTTCCAATCCACTCCCATATGATTCCAATCCCGATTGTTGTCGTTCTTCCCATAACCCATGACTCTTCACAAACGAACGCGGCATGATGATTCCAGCCGTCGGAAATTGACCAAATCCACCTAAATATTTACATTGACATTGATTTTTTTGATTTGACTCCGAATCTTCTGATCTAGTGTCCCACTGTCCTTCCCACATTCCAAAGCATCCGATCTCCAACCTCCATATCCAATTCCGAACATCACTGTTGTCATTCTTGATCTTCTAGCTGCCAACCAGTCCAATCACCATCATCGTTGTTGACCCAATCCGAGCCATCCGAATCCGTATTGTCCTCGTCATCTTCCAATCCGCTTCCCGAATTGTTCTCGATCATCCATGGATCTTCACAAACCAAAGTGTGCGGTTTCAGACATCGAAAATTGATCAAACCCACCTAAAACTTACCTTCCCATTGATTTCTTTCGTCTGATTACGACTCTATCGATTTGGTGTTCCACTGTCGATATCCAATTCCGAGCATCACTGTTGTTGTCATCCTCGATCTCCTTACTGTGCACCAGTTGATTTCCAATCACCATCTCCGTCCTCTTCACAACCCGAGCCATCGGAATCCGAGTAGTCCTCCTCACCTTCCAATCCACTCCTGAGCCATTCCAATCCCAAATGTCATCGATCCACTCATCATCCATGACTCTTCATCAACGAACGCGACATGATTCCAGTCTTTGATAATTGATCAAGCCCACCTAAAACCTTACCTCCACATTGACTTCTTTGATTTGACTCCGGATCGGTCGATTTGGTGTTCCATTGCTCATATCCTTCTCAAATATCAAAACATCCGATCTCCGATCGCCAATATCCGAGTCCGAACATCACAGTTGTTGTCGTCGTCAAACTCCTGACTGTCCACCAGTTGATGTTCGATCACCACCATCCATCCTTGTCCGAACAAGTCCATCCGAATCGGAGTAGTCCTCATCGTCCTCCAATCTAGTCCCGAACCTTTCCAAACCCAATTGACACCAATCTTCTCTTCATCCATGGCTCTTCACATTGAACGTGACATTGTTCCAGTCATCGATAGTTGATCAAATCCACCTGAAATCTTACCTTCCCATTGGCTTCTTTCAGTTGATTCCAAATTTGCAGATCCAGTGTCCTCCTGTCCTATTCACAATCTAAAGCATCCGACCTCCATCAATATCCAATTGTCGTTACCATCATCGATCTCCTGATTACACATCAGTCGAAGTCCAACCACCATTTTTGTTGTTGTCCCATTTCGATCCATCTGAATCAGAATAGTCCTCATCATCTTCCGATCCACTCCCGAACCATTCCAATCTCTATTGTTGCATTTCTTCTTGCCATCCATGACTCTTCACAAACGAACACGGCATGATTCCAGTCATCCAAGATTGATCAGATCCACCTAAAATCTTACCTTCACATTAGTTTCCTTCATTTGACTCCGATTCTGCCGATTTGATATTCCATTGCTCCGGCCCTTCACAAATTCCGAAGCATCCGATCTCGAATCACCAATCCCAAACGTCCCTGTTTTTGCCGTCCTACATCTCCTAGCCACGAACCAGTCATTGTCCAATCACCACCTTCATCCTTGTCCGAACCCGTACCAACTGAAGCTGAGTAGTCCTCATTGTCCTCCAATACAAACACGGCATGATTGCAGTCGTCGAAGATTGATCAGATCCACCTAAAATCTTACCTTCCTTGGTTTCATTCCGTTGACTCCGACTCTGCCAATCAAGCGACTCTGCCAATCACTGTCCTTCTCACATTCCGAAGCGTCTGACCTCCTATCACCAATCCCGAACATCCATGCTGTTGCCATCCACGATCTCCTAGCTACGAATCAGTCGACATCGAACCACCATCTTCGTCGTTGTCCCAATCCGAACCATCTGAATCCGTAGTCCTCATCGCCTTCCAATCCACTCCCGAGCCATTCCAATCCCAACTGTCGTCGTTCTTCTCACCATGCTATGACTCCTCACAAACGAATGCAGCATGCTCGCAGTCATCGATAATTGATCAAATCCACCTAAATTCTTACCTTCCCACTGGTTTCCTTTATTTGACTCCGAATATGCCGATTTGGTGCCCAATTGTTCTTTCCAGATTCCAAAGTATGCAATCACCAATTACCAATCTAGAATACCCAATCCCGATCATCTGTTGTTGCGGTCCTCGATCTCCTATCTAATAATCACGAAATCTTTGTCGTTGTCCCAATCCGAGCCATCCGAATCCGTGGTCCTAATCACCTTCCAATCCAATCCCGAGCCATTCCAATCCCAACTATTGCCGTTTTTCTCGTCATCCATGGCTCTTCACAAACGAACGCGACATTGTCCCAGTCGTCGGTAATTGATCAAGTCCACCTAAAACCTTACCTTCAAATTGGTTCCCTTCCGTTGACTCCGACTCTGCCAATCTAGTGTCCCATTGTCCTTCTCACATTCCGAATCCAAATGCCGAACATCCTTGTTGTTGTTATCCTCCTCGATCTCCTAGCTATAAACCAGTTGATGTCCAAACACCACCTTCATCGTTGTCCCAACTCGAGCTATCAAAATTCCAGTAGCCCTCATCATCTTCCAATTCAATCTAGAGCCAGTCCAATCCCGATTGTCGCCGACCTTTTCACCATCCATGGCTCTTCGAACGCAGCATTATTTCAGTCATCGAAACTTGATCAAAGCCACCTAAAATCTTACCTTCTCATTAGGTTCCTTCATCTGACTATGCCGATTTGGTGTTCTATTGCTCCTCTCGTTTCCACAACCCAAAACATCCGATCTCCAATCATCAATATCCAAATCCGAGCATCACTGTTGTCCTCCTCGATGTCCTAACTACGCACCAGCCGATGTCCGTCCACTATCTCCACCATTGTCACAGTCCGAAATTCCGATTAATCCTCATCCTCTCCCAATCCAATCCACTCCCGAATCATTCCAATCCCAATTTCCATCGTTCTTCTTACCATTGATGGACGCTTCACAAACGAACGCGACATTGTTCCCGTCGTCGGTAATTGATCAAGTCCACCTAAATCCTTACCTTCCCATTGGTTCTCTTTCTTTGACTCTGACTCTGTCAATCTAGTGTCCCATTGTCCTTCTCACATTCCGAAGCACGCTCTAATGCATCCATGTTGTTGTCATCCACGATCTCCTAGCTACGAATCAGTCGACATCGAACCACCATCTTTGTCGTTGTCCCAATCCGAGCCATCCGAATCCGTGGTCCTCATCATCTTCCAATCCGATCTACCGCCGAGCCATTCCTATCTCGATTGTCATCGATCTTCGCATCATTCATTGACTCTTCCCAAGCGAACGCGACATTGCTCCAGTCGTCGGAAATTGATGGAGTCCACCTAAAATCTTACCTTCACACTGGTTTCCTTTCGGTGACTCCAACTCCGCCAATCTAGTGTCTCATAGTTCTTCCCAGATTTCGAAACATCCGATCTCCAATTCCGAAAATCCTTGCTGTTGTCATCCTCCTTGATCTCCTAGCTACGCACCAGCCGATGTCCAATCACAAAATCCATCGTTGTCCCAACCCGAGACATCCGAACCGAAGTAGTCCTCATCTTGCTCCAACCCCCTCCCGAACTATTCCAATCTCTATTGTTGCATTTCTTCTTGCCATCCATGACTCTTCACAAACGAACACGGCATGATTCCAGTCATCCAAGATTGATCAGATCCACCTAAAATCTTACCTTCACATTAGTTTCCTTCATTTGATTCCCATTCTGCCGATATAGTGTCCCGCTGTCCTTAACACATTTCAAAATACCCCATCTCCAATCATCCCGAGCACTCATGTTGTTGCCATCGTCGATCTCCTTGCTACGAACCAGCCGTTGTCCAATCATCATCATCGTTGTCCCAACCCGAGCCATCCGAACCGGAGTAGTTCTCATCATCTTCCAATCCAATCCACTCCCGAACCATTCCAATCGATTCTCTTATCATCCATGACTCCTCACAAATGAACGCAGCATGATTCCAGTCATCGATGATCGATCATATCCACCTAAAACCTTACCTTCACATTAATATATTTTTGACTCCGATGCTGCCGATTCACTATTTCGTTGCTCCTTTCCTTTCCACATCTCCTGGCTATGCACCAGCCATTTCTTTCCAACCACTACTATCCACTTCCTCATCATCATTTTCTATTCCCGAACTTTCCACTCTCGATGTATAAGTTTCCACTATCCTACCAAGCCTTCTTTGAAGCAAAGTCGGTATCTTTCTCCAATCGTGACTGAACCAAAATTACACATCTGCCGAACAACCGAAGCATTGTTTTTTCATCTGACCCCGAATTCGTTGATGTTCCATTATCATTTGTGATCAATCCATTTTTATTATCCATAAAATCCTGTTCTGAACTACCTAAATGCTCACCTTCTAGTCATTATCCTCTGTCTCATGATTCTATTCTTTTT